CCCAAAAAAAAACAAGAAAAAAAATCTGCCTAGTTTTCCCATCCCATTTCAAGCCATCTAGAAGTTTAATTATTTTTTTTTTTTTTTAATCTCGTTTTGGGAGTATGGGGCAACCCTCCCATACGCAACTCCGGCTCCGGCCTTCGGCCCCTTAGATAACGCTGCGCGCTATAGCTACACCCATAAATACTTAGGCCCCCAGTCGGACACCTTAGCCCCCCCCCCATGAATTATATCCTAGAGCCACCACTGTGTATAGGGCTAACAAAATCTATAAGATTTTACATGCCTATCATTGTGTTTGAAAAAAATGGAGGATATGCTTCTTTTTAAACATTTTATTATCAATACATAAGTCAATGAGAGTTCCAGTTCGTCGACAATTGTTGTATAGGCAAGATATACAGACAGCATACGTTTCCGTTTATGTTTCTTATGAAAAGTTGACTTGGAGTCAACTTTTCATAAGAATCGTTTGCAAAGTAACGTATGCAAGATCATTCAACAAAAAGTCATTAAATCACAGTTTCCTGTCAAATAGTGAAAATCGACGTATCACATGAAAATTCAATACATCGGTTTCCTGTCCAAAACTGTTTTGCGACGAATTTAGTTTACGTTACGTCGATTTCACAACGCACCAGTCGCAATCAGTTTCCTGTCAAATCGCATTTTCTTAAGATAAAATGACATATATCGAAAATAAATCTGCCTTCACCCGTCGACAGGAACCATACAAATTTGTCTTGGTTCTTTTTATGTTACTGATTGTCTTGAGTGAGTACAGTATGATACAATTTCAAAAGTGCTATATAAGCCATACAGTACTTCTTATTTCTTAAAAAGAACAAAAAATAAAGAATAAACCATACTGGTTTCTTTGGAGTTTGTATTATGCTACTGTAGGCTAAATTACCAGTACTGTAGTACTACAAAGTAGTAGTTGTTTTTTTGTTGTTTTTTTTTTTTTTATTATCTTCGCCTAACTCAAATTACTTACTTTAATATATACATTTTTTTAATGATGGCCTCTGAAATCAATTAAATAACACCTGTAAATGTCTAGAATGCTGGAGCTTCAGGGGCTTCACCCCCTGGCCCCCAGCCAATGGTGCTTGCTTCACTCGCAAGTCTGTCTCTTATACACTGACTGTATGGGGAGCAGGACATACCCTGTCTCTTATACACATCTAGATGTGTATAAGAGACAGGACAGAGACAGGATTAAACAAAAGCAAACTTAATTGCTGTACAAATTTTCTTCCGCCAAGGGGGACACTTACCTGTATTAACAAACAATAATAAATATATATAAATATATCCAAAAGTTAAAATTTACAATAAAAGGCAGATAAGAATATAAAATACAGAATTACATAATTATAAAAAGTTAAAATAGCAACTATAACAACCGCCCAATCTCACTGAAGTTCAAAAATTTAAAAAAAAAAAGTTTAAAAATTCAAAAATACAGCAAAAGTCTGTGTGGATATGAGGTTTGGAGCAATTCCACCCACATCAAAAATAAAAAAAATAAAAAAAATGGCAAATAATATAGAAATATTAGAATTAAATTACACAAATCACAATTTAAACAAATTAACCCAATTTTGTATACATTCGTAGCTGGTGACATTTGTAATATTTACATCATGAAAATTAGTTCCTGTCAGATATTGCAGTGTAGGTTTTAGCAACCGATGTTATCTTGCGCAGTGTCAATTACATCCTTACATTAGTTTACAATCAAAAGAATACAGTATATTCATTATTTTACATTACGTGTTCAGATATAAGTAAAAGTAAATGCAGGAAAAGTTATTAAAGTTGTGTGTGTTTTGCAAACACACACAAAATAAGCAGACAAAATAAGCTGGTAACGATTCTTACGACAAGTTGAATTTTTCAAGCTCAAACGGCTCAGCCTCTCCTAACGTTGTCACATGCATGTTACGTCAAGTTGAATTTTTCTTTGCGACTGCGATATGTTAACATTTCTCACTTCCTGTCCGGTTTCCTCATTAAAATAACCCGGCGAAATTCGAGGACAATTTTCACCGTTCGATTTAAACAATAGTCTAGTCCTGTAGTACAGTATAAGGGCCTACAAATCTTGATTTGCTAACTTTCTAGTTATCGATTTTAGTGTTTCGTTCTCAAAATATCAATTAGGCCTATATTGTACTTTGTTTATTTAATTTCACCTATTTAATATTATGTTTTGAACTGACAGAAAAATCTCCAGATATACACTTATACAGAAAACATCATTCAAATGTTAAAATTATAAAGTTCGGGTTGTTTAATATAAACAGAAATTAAAATTAAGAATGAAATACACTTGAAAAAATTGTTTATTGAAATTAGCAGAAAATATTCCAACTGACAATAGGCCTATACTATTTTATATTTTATTTATTTATTATATGTTATACTGTATATTATTTTTATATTATATAAGTTTTTAGTATAATAAATGTAATTAATTAAATCTAATTGCAATCCTCATTCTTGACCACCACTCCCATATCCAACCCCGGCTCCGGCCTTCGGCCCCCTTAGATAACACTGCGCGCTATAGTTACACCCATAAATATTTAGGCCCCCAGTCGGACACCTTAGCCCCCACCCCATAAATTATATCCTAGAGCCGCCACTGTGTATAGGGCTAACAAAATCTATAAGATTTTATATGCCTTTCATTGTGTTTGAAAAAAATGGAGGATATGCTTCTTTTTAACCATTTTATTATCAATACATAAGTCAATGAGAGTTCTAGTTCGTCAACAATATTGTTGTATAGGCAAGATATACAGACAGCATACGTTTCCGTTTATGTTTCTTATGAAAAGTTGACTCCAAGTCAACTTTTCATAAGGATCGTTTGCAAAGCAACGTATGCGAGATCATTCAACAAAAAGTCATTACATCACGGTTTCCTGTCAAATAGTGAAAAATCGACGGTTTCCTGTTTTGCGACGATTTTAGTTTACGTTACGTCGATTTCACAACGCACCAGTCGCAATCGGTTTCCTGTCAAATCGCATTTTCTTAAGATAAAACAACGTAATCGAAAGTAAATCTGCCTTCAGCCGTCGACAGGAAACCAGGCTTGACTGGTAAACAATGAATATGTATAAAAGTTGATTGTGCACTGTATCCAGTTGTAGCTAAATTGCTAATCAATATTAATGAGTTAAAGTTATTAAATTAGCTGACAGTAAATGGCACTCTGTTATAAGTCCATGCTACTGAAGTGTGTCCATGTTAATGTGTTAACCAAAAGAAAGGAGTGGGTTAGGCAGTGGAATGGTACAAAGAGCAGAGGCAAAGCTTGTTCAAGGTATGAGGACTGAAGAGCCAGAAATAGCAAATGGAAGCTTGGTGTTATTTTGTTTAAAATACATTTTACAGTGAGAGTAGAGATTAAGTAACTTGAAATTGTACTTACCTGAATTCAAATTAAGAATGATAGTGTGTGAAATGATATTTATTAACAGGTTATAGTTGCATGGTACTGTATTGAGCCCAGTGGGGTTTTACATTTTTCAGTTGTTGACTGTATGGGGAGCAGGACATACCCAATGGTCTTGTGATGAAAGTGTTAGCAACCAATGTGGTATAATATACCACATTGGTTGCTGGACCGGGTTCAGGAACCGAGATGGTACTGACGTTATACTATATAAGGTGCTCAGGAACTGAGATTTTATTTGAGTTGAACATGTAAAGGCAAGCGTATATTGAGCTGGTTTGATGACGATATACAAAAATGGACACCTTGTCGTTTACAGTTGAAATATAATTTTCCAACTACAGTACTACTAAGTGTAGTGGAAAATAATTACTTTCTTCACAGAAAGACTTTGTGTCACACAAATAAATTCACCTTATAGTGGAAAACCGCATTAATACTCACCGATTTCTAAATCTGAAAAGTTGATATACTCCATTAACTTTGCCTCTTTGCCTTTGAGAGAAGCTGTAAATAAAAAGAACAATAATAATAATTATTATAATAATTAGGCTTTATATAAGACATTGTGCCTTCCAAGAGCAAAGTTTTACACCAAGTTAAAATTATAAAAATGCCCAATAAAAATCATCTGGGATAAAAAAATTACAGGGTCAAGTTGTTTTTGAAATCTTCACACTACACCAATAGTAATGACGTCATCTTCTTGTTTGGGATTAGAACAAATTACTTCACTTTACAACGAATGATTAACGGTCTGCATCTACCTTGGTTTGTTTGAGTTTACATTGGATCGGTTTACTTCAC